TAAATATGTTATTTTTCAAAATTGATTACATCAAAATGATTCCTATAGATAAGAATAATTAAATGATTCTTTTTATGAGTACATAAAATAAAATATCCTTGATATTTTATATAGGAAGTGTGAGATAAGTCATAACCTTACAATGAATCACAATATAAACCTAATATTTGTTAATAAATAAGCTAGAATATTTTTATTACTGACTACCGTGAAGAAGAAAAAAAAATTTATAGCATTTATGTGGCTTTTTCATTACCTTGTTTATTACAATCATTTATTTTTATAAAATGGGATTGGGTTACATGATGTTTCGACGTCGTACTATATAACTCAAAAAAAGATTGTTTTTACAAGAAAAAAATACGAATTTCTCATGAGAAAAGCGACTGATTTTATCCTAGACAGAAGACAACTATTCATTGAATATATAAAAAAATCATCTGATTGTTATTACTCTCACCTTGGTAATCTACCTTTCTAATATTCAATCATTTCTTAGTTAAAATACAAAATAAACAGAAAGAAAAGACCCTCCAGACAAACATATGGTAGTTCCTAATTGACTGATGCTTACAGACAATGAATTGCATAGATATATCCGACAAGCAAAGAAAATTCTTCATTAATTTCGCATCGATCATGTGTTTTTATACAAAAGAATGAAATATATCTATTCACAAGATCATTTAGATGTCAGAACAACAAGATCTCTAGATGTTAATTTATATTTATTTATCTAATTGTTTTGGAGAAATAATCTATTAATCTTTGGTAAAAGAAAAAAGAAGGAAATATTTGCGAAAATAAGACAGAAATCTATTTTTAGAAAATAACAGAACGCAAAAACATCAGTTCTAATTCGAGGACTAATGCTTAATCAGGCAAATAGATAAAAAAAATCATGCGATCTGTTTGTACATGTAAACGAGATTTCGATTGACATAATGCCTTGATTATTAGTCATAAATATAATAGCTTTTGCACATTTCTATTCTAGAATTGATATGATTGGGCATTCATGCAAAACATTCAACGGAATTTTTCTCATATTAAAACACTTACATTCTACTAAATTAGCTGAATTAAATTCTAAATAACTAATATAGACTATGTTGGCAATTAACATATTCTTATTTTCATAAGAAAATATCTGTCATAATTCTTATTAATCATTTAGATATTTGAGATGAAAGACATAAACATGTTATTAACGGTTAAGGAATTTACATTAATGATTAAAAAATATCACACATACTCACAATAGTTCATAAACATTCAATACTTAAATCTCCGTTTTTTTTGTATTCTGACGAAGTATAACATTTATTAAATAGTCGATGGTTATTTGTTGATTTCTAAATCACTTGACAAGATAAAATCATATAAAAAGAAATTAATGACTATATATTTATAATTACATTAATTAATCATCGATTTATATGTGAAAATAGATTGATTAATACTAACAGTTCTTATACTACTTCAAAATTTCATCTATTATTCATTATGGTATTTCTCAAATCTGATTTTTTGCATGTGTAATTATAAAATAAACATTAGCCTATCACACCCTACTCCTATATATATATTTTTTATCGCGATTAATTATCGAAACGAAAATGTCATTTGATTTTGTTTTTTTTCTTCACCATATGCCTGGATATGATCAAAATTAGAAATATTATGTATGTCCTCTTGACTTAATTTAACGGAGTGTTTTGATTTCTCGCTACGGTTGTGATTCGATTTTATATTTAAATATAATCAACTACTCAATTTATTCTAGAAGTTTCTGTTCGATAAAATGAAAAATTCAAACAAAGATCTATTACTTTATATAACTCCTTATTGTTTTGTACTTAAATAAAGACCATAATAAAAGTATAAGATTACTAAGGTTTATTATAAAAATATTCATTCTATTGAATGAAATTCTGAATTATATTTAATCTATGTCTCAGATCGTAAATATATAAATCTTTAAGTTTCAATTTTTATCTATATTTCTAATGAAAATCTATTTTCTATTTAAAATATTTCATAATTCTTTCCTTAATATTTATTCGATTGTGAAATAGAAGATATATCAGCTACTAATTATATCAATAATTTTCTATGTAAATTCGATTTTTTTTAATATTATAATAACAAATCTAATGATAACTATGGGCTTATCGTCGAATATATTCTCATGAGAATGATTAATAAATATCTATCGAAAAAACTGTTTATATAAATAAATTATTAAATGGAGAGTTACAATGAAATTTAACGTTTTAATACGAATCAATTTAAATAAGACTAACGATTAATGTTGTTTATAAAATTCTAAATATAAAAAAATGTTTTTCTAATATTAAAAGTGCAAATAATATCATATTTCAAATGATTACATCATGCAGAATGATTCCGAGTACATCGAACTATAGAATTGTAAACTTTTTTAGTCCTAATATATTTCGTATTTATTATAATATCTAGGAAAAATGACTTTTTTTTTTGAGAATATACATACCGGATATTTTCATCGAGTAGTTAATATTTATGTTCTTATCTTGAGTTTTTTGTATTATCATAGAATGAAAAACTTTTATTCCAATCGATCGAGAGAGAACTCTCTAGTAGCTGTTTGTTTTGTTCTATCTTATTCTATTCGTTAATTAATAAAGCAATTCATTTCCTCATCTGTATAGATGTCGTTAACTGCAATTCAGAATTTTTTGAGATTATATATGAAAAGGTAAACTTCTTAAAACTTAAACTAAAACCTTCAAAATCAGTAGAAAATGCAGAGGTGCAGAATCTTCC